CTCTCTCATCACCATGGAGCGCGGACTCATGTTCCTAATGTGGGATGGCTGAGACATCTATGATCAGGCAGAGTCTGCTTTGACCCCAGATTCACACCCAGGAGCATAAATGTGTCAGCCCCACACAGGAGACAGGGACCTACTCCCTGGGTCTCCTCCAGGGGCATATATGAGCAGGGTTCTCTTGCAAGGCTTTGAGAGGCCCCTGGGTGGCAGCTCAGGAGACCTGGGGTCCAGTGCAGCCTGAGACACTGACCAGCAGTGGGACCTCGGCCAGGGTCTAGGTGGCATCCCGAGATGGAGGATTAAACCCAGGGCCATCTGAGGTCAGTATCTTACACTGACCATCTAGGAATACAGGGCCTTCTTCACTCCTGGGACAACCCGGGACCAAGACCTGAGAGTCCATGGCAGCCAGCACAGCCCGGGGCCTGGTCTCAGAGCCAGAGCCCGTGTGCAAGGCAGACCTGTCCCCAGAGAGTGACCCCAGAGCCGGCAGGATCGGGCAGGGGCTAGAGGTGCTGGGGGAGGAAGTGGGCAGTGTGTGGGCAGCGTTTTAGCCATGTGAAAAGGGGCAGGGACAGGATGTGACCCAGGGCTCTCTGACCCCAAAGCCTCATGACACTGAGTCTGGGCTGTCAGTGTCCACGGAGGCCTGGGCTGTGCCTGCTGCCCTCCCGCACCCCAGCCCAGAGCCCCTGCCCGCAGCAGCGGGGACTGAGCCTGGTCTGCCCCAGCAGCCCCGAGACAGCAGAATGCAGGGTCTGCAGTGTGGTCGGGCTCCTCCACAGCAGGGCGGCCAGGAGCCTGCCCGGGGCACGGGGCCTCTGCCTCACCCAGGTTCCAGTCAGGCCCGGCCTCCCCAACCCCGGTGGAGACAGCAGGTCCTGTCCCATGGCCCCAGTCCAGAACTCTAAAAATGCTGGAACGAGAACCTGAGTACCGGAACTTCTTGGGAAGACGTGACAGGGCAGCTGTGTCTTGGCTCTTGGCCGAGGAGGAGGATGGTGGAACCTTCTAGAATCCCCAGTGCAGGAGCGCTGACTGTGACTCGCTGTGGGAAAAATAGCGATGACATCATCACCAGCCTCAGGTTCCTCCAGGATTGTCACAGGTGACACAGCTCAGCCCTCAGTGCAGGAGGCGCCATCGTCTGCTTTGCTGTTTTCCAGCCAGCACCACCGTCTCTCTCGTCCTCCACTGGCCGGGTGTCCTTGTTGCCAGAGGGTCCAGTCCTGGGCGTGGGGTGGTCTTCGGTGACCTTCCATGGCCAGACCCTGAGACACATGATGTCTGTCAGTCCTGCTGACAACGCATCACCTGGGCAGGCTCCACTCCACTTAGCGGGAAGGAACCCGGGCTCAGCGAGGCAAAGTCACCTCCCCAGGGTCACCCAGCCATGGCCTGGCAGAACCTGGCCTGACACAGGTTTGTGTGGGCATAGAGCTGGCCGTCCCCCAGCCCCAGAGATCAGCTCAGAGCCAGGGAGCCAGGTGCCTCTGTGCTTGCTCCACAGCACTGTCCCCTGTTGGGCAGGGCAGGTGGCAGGTGCAGGAGAGACCAAAGGGATCCCCCTGCACCTGTGCATGGCACAGAGCAGGTGCCGTGTCCTGCAGGGGGCACAGAGGGTGCTCTCAGACTTCCGGGGTGGACAACCTTACCTCGGGCAGCAGTGTCAGCCTCCACGGCCCCTCCCGGGCAGGGCCGAGAAACCCCGTCAGCACCGGGTCCCTGCAGGAAACCTCCCCCTGTGGTTTCAGCCTCGCTTTGGCTGCTGTTCCCACTGCTGCCGCTCGGTAGCGGTTTAGGCCAGCGGGGATCCATCCGACCACGCAGGTACTGGACCCCGAGACCCCGTGGCTGGAGCAGTCTGTGAGCTGGCAGTGTGCAGGTGGAGCTGAGAGCCCCTGCCCCACCCAACCCGAAGGGAGGTGCCTCTGTGACGCCTGGGAGACCCCTCCCCTGCACCATAATGTCCTGCATCCCTGCCATTCTTCCTGAAACTCAGAACTTCCACCAAACCCCTGCCTGCGGCCGGGTGCTGCAGCCAGAGGGCAGACGCGTCTCATTTGCTGCTGGTGAGGAGGGGAAGTCCCGAGGTTCCCTCCCTGTGCTCCCTGGCCCAGGAGTGCGGATCTCCCAGCTCCACCTGGAGGCCTGGGAAGCCTCACCAGGGCTGGCCCAGAAGTACCTGAGCCCAAGGCCTGCTCACCCTTCCTAGGCTGTGTGGGTCAGGGTATGTGCAGGTCGCTGAGCTGGGCAACCCGCAGTGGGCCTTGTCCAGTGTCTGCCTTGCGTGGAGGGGACCAGCTGGCTGAGCGCTCATTTCCCATGAGCATCCTCTGGCCCGGGGTCCCCAGTAGCAGGGGACATGGCCGTGACTGATGTGGCTGGCCCGATTCCTGCCCCGCTGAGCTCTAGGTCCAGCGGAGGTGGAAGACTTGCCCCGAGACAGCGACCACCCAGC